ATATGCACCTTCACATCTGTAGAGAAATTGCTGACGGTTTTCTTGTAGCCAGCTTTTTTCAGATGATGGTTCATCCACCGAAGTAGCATCTTTTCTGGTGACAAGCTCAACACTTCATCTATATCCTGCATAATAATCAGTAAAATGAATTTTGTTCTAAGAACATGTGAATTAAATTAATAGAAGGACAGAATGTTTATTTACCTTGCTGTCATCAAACAATTCCACCAGCTGGGGTGTCTTCTTGAGATTCAGATCAGCCAAAAGTTGAATCTGATGATAAGTGCAAAAAGATCTTTATATGATGAGGCAGGAGTTTAACCATAGTATGTCAAACATCAAAATGCAAAACTCAGTGCAACATTTACCTTTATGATTTGAGATATCAATCCAAGAATTAAATGAGGCTGCAAAAAAGAAGCATGTTAACCACAACTTAACTTTTAGTGAATTTCTTGAATTAAATAGAAGAAGTCACAAAGGGAAGGCGGCTGAAAACATCTGACACATGGACAAGCATATCAAAGAATAACACATACAGCAAATGAGCAAGGAAATATGAGGTGGAACCAATTAGCAGGTTATACAGCGAAGGATAAAATGGTATGCAGCAAATTAGTGGTGACAATGACTAATTGACAGCATACTTTGTACCCAAACTACCTAGCACCTACAGGGCATTAAAGTATTTCAATGTAGTCCTGAATGAAAATTAGTGGTAAAAATAATTTGCATAGACTACAATGCACCATGAATTACTAAAAAGAATTTAAAGTAGGGAATGCGTTGCATACCCTTCCCTCCACCAAATCTTGTGTACCAATGTTTACAACTGTACATCCAATGGCCTTGGCAGAGTTGAGGCACAGGGTGTGATTTTCATTCCTCTCCCATGGGTTAAGAACTCTTTTCTTATTTATTGCTCTCTCATCAATGGTCCCAGGTACAGCTAAATTGATCAATTTACTGAGCAAATGATCCATAAATGAGCAAATATCAGCTATGACTCAAGGGCAGTTTCTGTTCAACGAGTAAATGGATATGCACCCTTTGGTTAGCTGTAAAGACCATCTCTCACCATAGCAGAACACCGTCCCTGACAAGATCGAACAGCTGGTTGTCGGTAGGCTCGATTGGTAAATACTTCTTCAGAAACGGGTCTTCACGAAGGTAGGTGTTGATGTGCGCCACATAAGACGACTTCTCCGCCTGGTTGAGATTGTGCAGCAATGTAGTGGTACTGGACTTGAGGAAAGATGACGCGGTCTTGCCACCGCCGCCACCACCACCTCCGCCTTCTTTGGCGCTCACCCTTGACTGCAGATTCAGGTATTCCTACAAACACACCACACATAATCCCATTCCAATCAAATCAACAATGCAATGACGCTCTATTCCTCTCGTCAGTACCAACAGGAATTCAGAAAATAACCGAGTTGTACCCGTAGGAATGACTCGAACTCAATCTCCTGGTCGGCGTCAGGGTAAGACTGGGACAAGTGGGCGGCGATCTCCTCCTCGGAGATCACCTCATTGAGCCCCCTCAGCTTCTTCATCAGTCCCGGGAGGTTCTTCGTCGTGGCATGTCCTCCGGAGTCTCTCTTCAGAGATAGAAACTGCCACCCCGACAAAAAAAAAAAACCCATCAATTCCACCCCGAATGAGAGGCGAACTGCGGCTTCCTATACAACGAACTGAAGAAACCGGGGATAATTTTAGGTCACCTTGGCCTTGAGCGATCGGAGCTCCACCTGCGTGAACTGGCCCTGCAGCGACGGGTCGGAGACCACGACGCCGACGAACCCCGACATCTCCCCCCTCCTCCCCGACCTCCCCTATCGACTGCAACAAGATCTCAGATCAAAACGGCCGCAACCAAACCCCCCTCGAAAAACAAAGAAAAAAAAAACAGGAACGTGGAGATCGTCCGCGCCCTCGCGCACGCCGCGTGGATGGGCGCGTGGCGGCGCGGCGAGGCGACGGGGGGAAGGGGGGGGGGACGAGGGTAGGGGTACCTTCCGAATTTCTCGCGACGATTCGTCGTCGTCGACGCTCGCCGGAAGTGCTTTCCTTGCGGTGGGGGGAAAAGAGAAGAAGGGTTGGCAATGGCGTCGTGGCTCCTCCCAGATTTCGTGGGGGCGGGAGAGGGGAGGGGAAGTGGTGGAGACGAGGACAGGAGGTCAGGTGGGTCGGTTTCGTTTGTTTGTTTTGTTTGTTTATTCGCTGGTATGTCTCCGATTTTAGGTTTCCTCAGGGTTAAGAATTAGCACATTCGTTGTTTTTTTTTCAAAGAAAAAGAAAAGGAAAAGGAAATAGCACCTGGGCTCTACGAGGGGCTATAATGAAAGAAATAACACAGATATGGAGTTTTTTTTTTAAAAAAAACATTTTATTGTTTGTTTTCTTTGGGCTTACCACATCTTAAACGATTGGAACCAAGGTCTAACTTATTTGGACTTTAAAGGGTTGTGCAAAATAGATGATACGTAATAGAAGACATTGAATGCTTTACATTGGAAGAGGTTTCGATTGCGAGACTTTAACAATATGAGTGTCCGTTTTACATATTATCGGTGTATTTTTCTTTTCTCAAAATTGAACAAAAATGCACATAGGTCGAGTTCCTAAATAGGAGGATTTTTTTAAAAACTTTTTACATATATAGTTATCATTATAAGATGCTATTTCAAATCCATTCTTTTTAATCTTGTAATAATAGTTAAATTATTGTTTGTATGTTCCATTACATTGAACTCAAAAGAACACACCTATCTCCCTAGAAAGTAGGAGCAATGGAGCACCAGCTATATGAATACAAATTAAAGATCCTTTTGTGAATACATTATCTAAAAATACAATTAAAGATCCTCCAACTTTTCCTCGAGAAGAAACTCTCTCGTGTAATTTTCTTATTCGAGTCAACCAGCTTTCGTGTGCTCATGTTCTCAAAAAGCAACCAAGAAAACCAAAATTTGTCCGGCACCTGTTTACCCGGAGCTCGAGCGGATCTTGCTGCTCATGCCGACAAATCTTGTTGCCCTTGCCATAATTTTTCGTGGGGTTTTTATCCCCTGCCGAAAGCGTCGTCGCCACGGGCCTCTTCTTTGGCGTGTTCCGACGTGCCACTGTTCACAGCCAGAACAAACCAAACACCTCTTACCTGTACAACACATACCCCCCCCCCCCCCCCCCCAATCCGTGCTCCCGCCGAACGTGAACCCGTCACGCAGACACGCGTGCGCGTACCTTGGGCACACGTACTGCACACAGCGCGCATTTATCCGCAAAGCTATCGAAATATTCAGGTCTCCAGGATGATTCAATGCAGAGAAGAGCTCATTCTCTAAACCGAAGTACTAGTAATCCAGTATTGAATTAATCAGGTTGTGTTTAGATTGGCCCAAAGTTTAGAGTTTGGTTGAAATTGGAGACGATGTGACTGAAAAGTTATAAAAAGTTACGTGTGTATGAAAGGTTTGATGTGATGAAAAGTTAGAAGTTTTAAAAAAAACTTTGAAACTAAACACATCCGAAGTATGGCATTTTCTGGCCGAACGGTTCGACAACGTGATGCATCGAATCGAAGACCCTGGGAAGCATCGACGAGTTCGTACGGAGCCGAGCTGACACCGGAGCTCCTCCACTGTCCTGCACTGTCGTTCCAGCTTCCTGGTTAATGCCGTTTTCCGAAAGCGCCAGATCGCCAGGCTTGCAGCGCGCCAACACACAATAACTCAACAAGGACGGCTAAATTCCACGCACGTTATTTCCATCGGCATCCAAAGCGATAGCACGACAAACACAGCGCGCCGCGGGGGGAAAGCTGGACGAATCCTTCGCCAGTGCGCACATCGGTTGCTTGTTATTTGGCGCGGATCCGATCGCCGGCGATGTGACGGCGTACGGGGGAAAAAAAAAAGGAAAACACGGAGTTGAGACCGATCACGCATGCCCAGGAAAACGGCGAAATCCACCGCTGTTGATAGAGAGACGTCCCCGATGGTTTTGCTTGCGAATTCTCTCGTCTCTCGCCCCGGTCACATGCGACCGACGAGACGACGGGGTCTGAACGTGCTCACCGCTTTCCAAGCGTGAAAGTTTTACTCTGGTCACGTGATGACGTGAAGCCGCCAGATCCTGTTGCTTTTGCTTGCCTCGGGCTCCTCTCGGACGTGGTCGCCGAGGAGCAGGGCCGACTATATCTTCTGAATTTGACCCACCAGCTTGGGCCGCGAAGTCTACCTATCCAAAACATGGGCCACGCGCGCTGCGCGAAAAGGGGGGAAGGTGACGGGCCAATCCAGCATTGCCGGCTGGATCGTCCTCTGCGCGGGCCGGAAAAGTGGCCCACACGAACGGTAGGTTTGGTTGGAACGTTGGGTGGGCTGCCTGAAATCACCGCTCCAGCCTGCTTTCTGGCCCGCTTACTCGAGTTGCTAACTTGTGTTGCTATTAATTCCTCTTTAATCAGGTGAACGGAAGGAACCCACATGTTTGCAACTTTGCATCCCTTAGCCAATCGCTGCAACTATATGTAAGTAAAGCTTTGACCACATGCATCTTGCGTGATGAATCCGCCGAGGAGTTGGAGTGGGGACCCATGATAAATAGTCCAGCTACTGCTTGCTTGCTTGCACCCTAAATTATACGGGAATCCTCAGACCTCTGATCCGCGAAGTTACCCACTCTAATATACAAGGCATAACACTGGTAAAACAAGTTTAGACAATTATACATGGAGAGGAAGTATCGGTGATGTTCGTGGTGGAGGGTGCATGACTACCACCCACTATTTAAGTCTTGGTCTCTGGTTGCCACGAATATTATATACTCACAGCTATGTTTTTAATGGGATTTTAGTATAGGAATTCTCATTGGTTTCTGTCTTTGAGTATGTATTAGGGAGTATATTTATTGATTTGTGTATGTATAGTGATGTCTATGGCCTATGGGTATATGTCTTTCGTGTAATTGCAGAGAGAAGCACACAGAATGGGAAATTTGTAAGGGAAGCGTCAGATACAGTCCCAGTGTTTACAAGAAATGCAGCTGCGTTGCTCTGAACTCAAACAGGCAGTTCGATCGAAACAGGACCCTGACAGAGTGACAGAAGCTCAAACACGCACACTGACATAACACATAGCATAACATCAACTTGAACTGACAAAGCGTACGTCTAACACGGCGTTAACACAGCAAACAACCGGGACAGACAGGGCAACAATATACAAAAGAACCCTAGGGTGAATCAAACCAAAAAAAAAAATGAGTGGATAAGACGCAAACGAGACGAAAAAAAAAATGTCCACTTCTGCTCCCAACGGTGACGACAGTAACACACAGCATGAATGCCGGCCGGCCGGCGCCTCACCCTTCTACTCGGCGACCACCACCGGAAAAACGGCTCAGCTGATCATTAGCTCAACGCCGGCCACTCTCGGCGTATGTCGAAGGTGTAGTTGATCTCCAGGTAACATTTCCGGTCGTCGTCGAGGAACTGCAAGAATAAATTAACAACACATTGCTGAGCGACTGAACCTTGCAGGTTTCCTGAAGCAGCTGATATCTGACAAAGAAAATTCGCGTCATGCGTACCTTCGTCCTGGCCGAGTAGGATCCCCTCGCAAACATGCCGGACGGCGTGGTCTCCTCCGGCGTCACGTACGTGTACGGCTCCGGCTGGGGGCTGAACGTGCCGAGCATCTCCTTGTGGCTGTCAACTGCACGCCCCAACGGGAGGAACCAAAACCATGAGTGCGTTTGCACAAATTCAAACGCGCTAAATCCATCGGATTTTATAAAATTTTAGTAGTAATTAATTGTTCATCTATTGGAGACCTAATTAAATGTTTTTCGTGTTTGGGTATACCTTTGATGCCGGTCTTCCAGACGGCATTGGTGTAGCGGAGGCCGGAGACGATGTTGTTGCTGACGGAGAAGGTGAACTTGAGCTTGTAGAGGGAGCCCTCCTTGAGGGTGAACCAGACGCCCTTGGCGTTGGGCTCCACCGGCAGCGGCAGGAAGATGTCCGGCCGGCCGGGCGAGAGGATGGCCAGGCTCATGATCTTCACGTCAGGCTCCAACGTCTCTGCACCGATAAAATCAAGCGTGACAGGTTCAGACTTCAGACCTCATTATTGGGTCAGTTCTTTTTGGGACATTATTGCATCCTAATGGCCAGGACGTGTAGGCCAAATGATTGGCCGTAGTTTTGAGTTTAAAATTCTAATGGAAGACAAGCAGATGCCGAATGAATGATCATCCTAAAACCGACCGTGAAGCAGCTAGCCATCATCCTCGGATTATTTGGTTAAACAACCACAACCATATGAATCATGGTTTATTCAACACTAGTCTAAAAAGCATAGACAAAAAGCCAAGGTTCGCTAGAATTATGCGATGCAAAAATGTGTCTTTTTAGGCCACTATTCAAAATCCATTTGATCTTAAAAGCACCAACACCCTAGCATATAAACTAACAACAGAAATGCACTGTTCCCCAGTATTAAGATCAGAAGGCATTGTCAATGTCATGATCAGATGAAAGCATTAGTTCAAGCTTCAATTAGGAGCCCGGACCAGATTCATTATCAGACAAGCCGAACATGCACGGCAAAGTACAGGAGTTATTAACAGGACCATCTAACCGGTGCATTGAAAACGCCGGACCCGTCCAGCCAAGCCCAACATATTTCACTTTTTCTTTTGCTGTTCTACCGTATTTTCTACGTACAAATCACAAATGTACGGAGTAGAATGCAACACGGAGCTCACGGGGGCGGTGCATGCATGGATGAATACTATAGACGATGGATGAATCTAGTCGTGGCCCATAGAACGGGGGCTAAGCACGGACAGGTACACAGGTGCATTATCACGGGACCATCTTTGACAAGGGCACAAGGCGGTGCTCAGGCTCACATGCAACGCTGTTGCATGTGCCGGCCGGCGCCATTAAACGAGATCGCGAGGACGACGAGACGACGCAGCTAAAAACGTTTAGTAGAAATGGATTTGGTTCGAGGAATTTTTACCTCCTACGGAGTTCAAATCCACGCTGCCGAGCAGCTGCTCCTTCCACCGCCTCAGGCTCTCGTCGTCCTGCAATTAAGCAAGAACACGCAGAAACGCATGAAGAATTGGATGCGTTGTATAAAATGGCGGGTGCTTGCAAGAATTCGAGCAATGGCGGGAATGAGTAGTGGTACCTTGTCTTTCTCGAGCTGGTCCTTGATGCTGACACGCGGGCCGAGGTCGATGGCCTTGGGGGCCTTCTCCTCGTCATCCTCCTCCTCCTCGTTGCTCTCCTTGCGGCAATGCGGCGCCTCGCCGCACTGCTTCCCGTTCATCGTCGCGGCGTCGCCGCCGTGCTCCACGCCGCCGTTCTTGCCCACCACCGCCACCCGCTCCTTCGTCGCCTCCTCCGTCGGCGGGGCCGCGATGCCCTTGGAACAGGAGATGGCATCCACCGCCGACGACATCGCCTCCGCACGCACGCACGCACGCACGCAGCCCGCGTCAACCCAAGAACAGAATGAGCCGAACCACGGGAGGAGACAATGAGGAGGAGGAAGGAGCGTGGCAAGGCAAAGCAAACGGGAGCACAGATACCAAAGAAGCAAAGCAAGGACGCTCGCCGAGGCGGATTCCGGGTTCGGGACAAGGGGAAAGTAGCGGGGCGCAAGGCTCCAAAACGAGGGCGCGGCGCGACGCGCGCGCACGCACGCGAGACGGCTAGCGCGAGACGAGGCGTGGCGGGGGCAGATGGTTGGATCCAGCAATGGCAGCCCGGGGGCAGAGAGAGGATAAGGGGGTTTTAATTCCCTCAGCTCGGCTCTGTCCGCTCTCATCACCAGAGGCGAGATGCGAAGCGAGGGAGTGGACTAGTGGCGACGACGTGAGCGTCACGACCTGCGCGCAGCGGCAGTGGTACAACTGTAGCGCGTTAGTTAAGGCGATGCCAGTATGCCACCACCAATTTCTCTTCTTTTCTTTGCATATATGCTTTGCACAGATGATGTCTGGATGATCATTGGGGTTGGTCCAGTAATTAATCCATTTTTTTAAAAAGTGGTATTAACTATCCTGTCTGGCTGTCTGTCTCAATTCTTCAGTGGCAAACTGGCAAAGCAGCTAGCGTTCGAAGTCAAAATGGAGATCCACATCTACTGAGCCATGGATGTGAGAATGGTCTGGGTTTACTACCTGCTTCTGCTTTCTGTGTGTTACTGATCGGGTAGGTGAAGATCTGAGTGGGTACCTGCCCAGCCAGTCCGTTTTTGTCCCAGGTGATGTCGGCTTGTCCCGTTGAATCGGGCCCGTCCATCACGGCCCAATCATAGATCTGCGCGCAGGGCAACTCCATTCATTTCCACATTTCAATGCGGCGAGGCGCAGTGATGTAGTGATGCCAACTCATTTTCAGTACCATATGGCTGGAGTCATTGCAATTTGCACACACCGTCCACCAGGCAAACTTTGCCAATTTGCCGGTATTTCAGCCATCTAACCAGCCCAGATAAACAGGGCCCTGTCGGGGGCCTAAACTACTCGTCAGGCTTTTCGTCACCTGAAGAAACGTCGCAATGGAGGTGTGATCACAGCATTTGTTTATTTTAACCTATAAGTGGATTCGCGGGTAACCCACTTGCACTCTTGGCTCTTGCAGACCTCAAGTTGCTAGTTTCGTTTATGTGCAGAGTATCTCAATTGCTCTAAGCATACTGAAGTGGCTACAGTGGTGAACATTTGTTCGTAGCAGAAAGAAAGCTGGATTCTGTTACTGAATTCCTTCATAGGCGAGTAACAATCTCCCCGTTACATATGGACCTGAGTTAGGGAGGTGGATCTCCCTGAAAGAGCAGATAGCTGAGAGCTAACTGGAGAAGAAGTATAGTGTTACAAATCATGACAAACTGAGGAAAGAGAACTTCTGGCTGGCCTATCTCTAGCTCACAACACCAGTTTGTCTGCCATTTTGTTCACCGATCACGGTATCCACCTAATTTGGACTCCTGTCCCTGCAAAACTTGCTGAAAATGGTAGAGTGGCCGGAGGCTCCAGTGTCCTCGATTGCTTGCATGATATCCTTCCTCTCCTGCAAAACCTTGACAACAGTAGTGTAATCTGACAAGTAAATGGCATTGTTCAATTGCAAGTTGCAAAGTGCTGCATATAACATGTCCAAAGATGAGAGCCATAAGCTCTGCTGTGAAAGAAGAATCTGACTGCGAACTGTCCTTCGATAACTAAAGTAGAGTGAGGTATAGAGTTGTCTATGAAGACCCCAGTCCGCATCAACATAACTAACATCTTGTTCCTGCAGGAATGGAATATTGGAATATGTTTGACAGATTTCAAAATTCATCTTATTATATTTTTATTGAACCTTGAATACATAAGAAATTAACAAAAAAATTATATGTTCCTGCAATTCATAAATTTTATGTGACCTCAAGCAGCAATTTAGTGCATGGAAGTATATTATGTGAAATCTCAAAAACAGCCAAGGACAGAAATAGAGTTCAATGATTCAGTTGCTGAAATACGACTGGTAATTTAGTTTGATGGACCTGATATTCAGGGGTGCTGGATTGAACTTCGTTAGTAACAACCACTATAGTCAATGAGCGGCACCTCAGCACAAAATCATCTTGGATTCCAGTTCAGAAAAAAAAAACATTGTTACACTATTGCAACTGCAAATGTGGAACAAAGTTGTTGCCAAGAAGGTAAAAAAATATCTACCACACAATTAATTAAATAACAAAACATTTACTAGCATAATTAGAACAAAAGACAAGAACAGGAATTTGTTGAATGAAATGGAGGTTCCCTAACGAATCTGGTCTACTGTGCACACCCCAAAAAACCATGGACCAGATGCAAAAAGAACAAGGCCGAACGCGCCGCGGTGCGTGGGAGCCTTCGTCAGGAGGTGCAGTGGAAAGGGTATCTTAGACGCTGCAGCGGTGGAAAGAGAGCTAGTGTGTCCTCTGCATCTTGCCTATGTTCGGATCGGTATATACGTTCTCGGCAGTTCAGCTCAACTGGCACCTAGATGTAATTCAATCTATTCATGAAGATGGAATTCAATCACGCAAATGAATCTTCGTACTTCACATTAACAGACAAAAAGTTTCACATGAACAGAGACAAACATGAAATGCTCCTGTATAGTATGTGAAATTCATAGAGCAATAAATTGCATGCATGTAGAGAAACGCAATGCAAAATGCTATCAGGAATATAACAGGATGAAACAGTAGAAATAATGAAGCATTGCAAAATAGTAACACCAACAAAAGACAGCAACTCAATAATCTTTCGATATTTCACCGAGGGTAATGTATGGTAGGAAAATCGCCAGACATAACAGAGCCGGCCAGACTCAACTCAAACTCAACCCTATGATGGTAAACTGTTTGCGATTAACGCCTCCGCCTATGACAATGTTTGGAGATAAACGCTTCCACCAAAAAACGAATGTCGGGGAGTGTTCTCCCCTACAAGAATTATTATTGTTTTCAATGTTAAAAAGGCAAAATTCACCAGATCCCGTTAGTGCAGGACCAGGAATAAACACTTGTTCGTCATCATTTTCTGCCAGTTTAGGCACCGCCCGAGCCGTACTTCTTTCCAAAGAAGAGGATCTGCAGCTGGTCATAGCCTGAGAGCACACCAGCACCAGCAATGGCACGTAGGATGTTGGCACCAGCACCCTTGAACAGTGACTTGGCACCCTCGTTCTTCAGGATCTGGGAGAAAGCATCCATGGAGCTCTTGTACTTGACAGCCTCTCCAGAGGTCATCATCATCCTTCTGCGGACGGTATCAATGGGGTAAGAGGCAAGACCTGCACCGTTGGTGATCAGCCACCCAAGGGCAAAGCTTGCAAAGAAATTGTCCTGCAAACCAATGAAGATGTTAAAGAATAGTTCCATAGATGGGCAAAAAACAACTAATATTGAGACAGAAATAAGAACAAACCTGGAGAGACCCAGTGAGTACAACTGGCTTCAGAGAATCATACATTCCAAAGTACAGACCACGGTAGACAATGATTCCAACACATGAGATGTTAAATCCACGGTACAACCCAGCAATGCCATCTGACTTGAGAGTCTTGCGGTAAACATCCACAAGGCCATTGAACTGCCTTTCACCTCCTCCCTTGGCAGCCTTCGCATCATTGGCCAACCTTGTCCTAGCATAGTCAAGGGAGTACACAAAAAACAGAGATGAAGCACCAGCAGCACCACCAGAGGCAAGGTTGCCACCAAACCACTTCCAGTAACCATCCTTGTCTTTCTTGAAGTTGAACAGCCTCTTGAAGTAATCCTTGAAAGCAAAGTTCAAAGCCTAGGAGACAAAATCAAAAGTCATCAGAATAAGAAAAGAACTATAGTGCAATAGCAACAAAGCAAACAGAATGTAAACACACCTGAACTCTTCTTTCTTAATAAATTTTGATTGATTCAAACTTCTTAATAAGTGATAAACATGTAAGGTAAATAGAATCACTACACAGGCTACTGAACATCAAAACGTAGTGCTTTGTTCAGGTGTTTTACATAGATGTTCCAAAGTGTAATATACAAAACATAAATTTGGCTACCATCATGAAAATTGCAGGTTACCTGGGTGGGGAAGTAACGGATCACATTGGCAGTGTTTCCTCTCCACAATGAAGCAAAACCCTCATCCTTGATAGTGCGTCCGAAGCAGTCCCCAATACCCTTGTATGGCTCTGAGAGCCTACCAGCCTTGATCATTTCATCCTGGTTCTGGATAAGCAGCTTCACACGCTCAATCGGAGCAGCAGCAGTCTTTGAAACTGCGGCTGACACTCCACCCATGAGGAAATCAATCATGAAGTTTTTGCCACCTTTCTCAGCTGGAGCATTAGCAAAAATTGGAGAGGACGACATCATTGGGACGTTGATGCCACCATTGACAAGGCCCTGGGTCATGTAGCTCCTTGTGGTAAAGCGCCTGTCATAGGATGAGACAGATGGGCAGATGTTGCGAGCCCGTACACCTTCAGAAAAGCTGGAGCCAAGGTGGAACTGGCCACCGAACTTCTGAAGGACAGTCGGTTGATTAGCCTGCTCAGCCATCACCAACTAGCAACAATGTCCTGCATCATAAAAGGCAACAGTACTGGTTTAGAAATCCAGGATCACAGGCAAAATATTTCACTCAAAATATTTGTAGTTCAGATATTTCACTCAAAAGAAATCATAGCATACGAACAGACAGTGCAGAAGAAAGATTTATTGTTGAGATATTTCATTCATTAGAAGAAATCATGGTGTACAAACAGAGGTAGTGCTTAAGAAACTAAACGGAAAGAGCTAATAAACTGATATTTACCAAGAACAAAAGCCCAAAAAACTATATATAAGCATGTAATTACACAATTGTACAGTCTCTACAAAAATGCATCCAGAATGTATTAAAAATTGCAGTGGAACTCCTGATGACAAACAGTATAAGGTGTTCTACACAGTAGTGCACATCACCATCACGACGCACCATGAGAACTTTAAATAGGTCGCAGAAAAGGATGGTCCCTGTCCAAGCAGGGCCGTTCCTTTTTGTGCAGAGCAAAAGGAATCGCAATTCCAGAGCACATTATTAAATTCTACCAACAGGTAATGAGAAGTATAAAACTAGCATGCATGAAACACAGGATTATACTAGTAAATCTGTACAAGTTTATAAACAAGGATGGATCGTTACTGTAATACGGTCACGGTCAGATCAAATCGAGAAACAGAGTCATGTTTGGAGGGGTTGTGTGCGTTCAGATCACGCATCTGAGGCACATGAGACGACCAGATCTAGTCGACGTCAGTGAAAATAAAGAAAACCAGTAAAAAAACGCAACCCTTTTGGCTGCCCCACCATCCCCACCTGACCAATGACCTTCCGATCTACAGATTCGGAGCCAACCCGAACAT